CATCAACCAAGTACAAAAAACTTTAAAAAATAAAAATAAAAATAAAAATATATTTTCTATAATTTTCACATCTAATTTAATAACTCACAATATGTTGCATAAAAAAAAATGAATCAAAAAAAAAATAAATAAATGAAACGAACATTAAGAGAAGTAAGATGAATGAACAGTGCGTGCATTGTCTAGAAAAAGGAAGTGAAAGGCTAATCATTAACGTGGAATATTGAATGCTTGCCAAAAAAAAAAAAAAAAAAAGACAAAAAAAAAAAAAAGTTTAAAGGCCAAAAAAAAAAAAGAAGAAGAACAAGACAAAGTGATATAGCACAACTTGTTAATGGCATAAAATCAATTAAATAAAAAATAAAAGGACAAAAAACTTGATTTTCATGAGATTTCCTACAACACTTCATTCAAAGGCATAAAGAAAATAATGTCAAACTTTATAAGCTGACATGAAAAGATAATTATGGTCAATTTAAATATTTGGTCTATTGGAACATAAGAGAAATATTATGCTAAAAAATTGAGAACTCTTAAGAATGATGACAAAATAAAAAATAAAAAAATCCAGAGAGGAAAATAATTTTCTTTGGCGTGGATTTTGCAAGACTTTCGATAAATTCTCAAAGTATAATTCCTTCAGACATCTCTTATCACGAGTTTCATAAAAATTCAAGACTTATCCTATCTCATTAGAAAAATAAAGAGATCATGAATATGAAAAAAAGATAAAGATGAGTCTCTTTTTAAAACTTTTGAAAATTATAACAATAAGGATAAAAGAAAAAAAAATGAAATTACCGATGTCCCTGTCTTGGTGATAGTGAAGGAAAGGCAAGCTCAATTTGAAGCTAGATTCAGAGGGGCTTGTAGTTTGATTGAAATTAAGTTTATAGCTATAGCTCAACAAATAAAAGATAAATACAAATTAAAAATGAAAATGATAGAAAATCATTATAAGAAATTAAGGTTGGCTAATAGCGAAAAAATTTCATCTAGAAAGACATATAGTTACTCTTATAAGATTGTCAAAGGTTATAATAGAAAACACAATCCATTATTTGAACTTAAACCTCATACACAAGAACCTCTAGTTATAGGAAAAATCAGTCACTCAGTAAAGAAATCCGTTGTAGATCCGCATACTAGCTCTACATAAACCGGAAACTATACAAATGAAAGTCCTAGATGAGCAAACTAGATAGAAAAGGTGAAAATGGCCACCTAATGACCAAAAAGCGAGACCATCAAACCTTGCAACCTAACTCTAAATACATTTTGGTGGTTATAGAACAAGCCTATGGTCCTAAAGTACAATAGATTCATTGTGTGAATTCCAATTTAGATCTTGATGTCACTATGAATAATTATGATTAGAGTATTAAAAGTATGAATTAATTTGAAGATTTTAAGGAAAATTCACTACTTGAATTATGAAATCATTGTAAATGATCAAAGTCTTAAATTAAATGAATCACCACAAGGCTTCAAAAAATTTCATATTTTTAGGATGGAATCATTAAAAAATATAGATCCAAATCAAAATCTTATCATGTTTTTCAATACCCATGATATAAAAAAAAAAAAAAACCAAAAACAACAATAAGAATCTATATGACTATCTTATTTATTGATGAGTATTGCCATCTAAGGTGGTTATAAAATCACATGAATTAAAAGCTATGTTCACATGGTCAATCCTAAATTTAATGTATATGAAATACCTTTCCTCTTTTGCAAAGATCAAATGCAATCATGTTCTTTGCTAGGCATGTAAGGGATATTTATGTTTTAAATGAAGCATAGCTACTCCATGCAAAACTAAAACTTCAATGTTGATAGATATATACTAGTTTGAATAAAATGTTGCATGTATTTAATGTGGCCTTAAAGCCAATAATAAACAAAACTTGGTTTAAATCTAGTATTTTTCAAACTTTAAACAAGTTATGCTAAAACATAGCTAAGTAATTACAAATAGAGGTTGCAATGTAAACTTGACCTTAGCTTTCAAAATAAACAAACTATATTGACCAAGAATCAAGAACACATGAGTTCCATCCATGCATAAAGAAGTATTACATGTTATAAAAATACTTTGAAAAATCTACTAAAGAACCTAAAAAAAGAAACCATTCTTTGTTCGTACAATGAAGAGATAGAAACTTCCATTTAAACTTGTAAAGCCTCTTATTTTAGTTTACGAGTTGAAAACTTTTGTTGAAACCACAAGAGTTCAACCTTTTCACACAAGGTCATGGCCCTAGTTTCAATATCTTTTATTTTCTTAGTCACTTGAAGTTTTGGGTAGAAAGAAAGCTAATGGGATTGCATCATCTTTATAAGGAAAACATGGCTTGGAGAATTGTAAGCTTGTTAAGCTAGGTGAACTTGCAACTATGTGAGTTGACTTTACAGAGACTATAGTGTATGTTTGAATGGCCTATCAATGTTAGAGAGTTTCGCATTTAAGAGATATAAAGACATATTAATATGATCTATAGAGTAAAATTCTAAAATAGTAAATTTCAATAAGGTTTTTAGGTTAGCTTGGAGAAGAAGATGCATCCTCCATAAGTTTTTTTTTTTAAGAAAAAATAGAGATAAAGGAAACTTTGAATAATAAGAAGAGTTTGTGATAAAGATAAAAGATACACAATGATGAGACATTTCATAATTGGTTTATTGATATAGATTTGCAACGAGTAAGTGCATAGAAGGAGAAAAGATGTTTTTACTACAAACAAATTTAAAAATACATGTTGAACATTGAAAGTTGAAAATTAATCATTAAGTGTAGGAGTTATTTCTTTTGAAACATGAAAAAAACTTTCATGCATGAAAAAAAAAAAATGTTATACCTAAAATTTATAACATGCCAAAAAGTCTAGTAATTTGATTTCACATAATAGGCTTGTCAATCAATTTGTTAGGTGATTCGCTTGGACAAAAAAACTTACTAATCATGAACTCTTTAATTAATCAAGATAGTTAGAACAAGATAATTATGTGGGTTAAATTTTCTAAAGCTAAGAAGAAAGTGGACCATTACAAAGAATGTCAAGCACGATCATTGATAACCGTAAGGAAACATGGAGCATTACAAAGGAACATGAAAGGACTAAAAGACTACAAATACAAATTGTAATAAAAGAAGAAGAAAACGAGCTACGTAACAATTAAGCTCAACAACACTTGTAAAGATCAAGAAGCTCTTAGAGCATTCTCTTAAATTTTAGTTTATTTGAAAATTGTTAGGTTATATCTTGTAGACAAGTAATAAGTAGACATTAACATTGTAAGTTGGTAGATTGGTTGTCATTCTATAATTAAATCATTTTCTATACTCATCAAGTGTTGAATTTCTATGTGATCATCATTTATGGAGAAATGATTTTTGTTCATAAAAAGCTTTTTTCATCAATGAATATAAATTTCTTTTTAGTATTATGTGTTATTAAAGTTTATAGTCTTATTTTTATTACTTACATGTTGCTTGATTTCATGATTAGTAGTATCAACAAAGACTTTAATTGCAAAAAGCTTGGAAAGTGCAAATTGCTAGTTTATTTCATACAATTATGTCGAAAAACATAAATAACAACTATTAAAAGCTTATATAGAATTGAACAAATATTTTTTTATTTAATGTCGATGAGAATATCGATTTTTGAAAAAATGTGAATTTAATTTTTATATATTTATTTACAAAAGAATGAATAATATTAAAATAAAAAACTATATTAATTTGAATCGTTAAGTGTTTAAGCCAAAATATTATTTTAATTATTTAATTCAAAAATAAATAAAGAAATAATAAATGCTTAGTGTAGAAAAATAATATTATTATAATATGATCATAATATTAATAACATATGACTATATTAAAAAATGACAAATAAAAGTATTAAATTTTAAATAATAAAAAAAATTAAAAGAAAACATTAAAACAAAATGGGACTAAATCACAATATAATTAAAATTTGAAATTGAAAAATAAAAGTAATTGAGGACCAAAATGCTCAAAAATATATGAATAGTGAAAGGAATAGTTATTTGTGAGTGTGTGAATAATGCTTTGAATAGTAAAAATAAATAATAAAAATATGTTTTATTTTAGTTTTTTTTAATAATAAGAGATAACACAAAAAAAATATCACTAGAATAAATATTAAAGCACATGAAATAATTAATTAAATCCATGAAGTTGGGCCGCCTCACCGATAACTATCCAACCAATTTTTTCTTCACTGTTTTGTCACGCTCTTGAGAATCTAGTCAGATATAAAAGAACCCCAACAGAAGTCTAATTCTCTGTACACATAACCCGTCAATTAAATTTATTTTCTCAAAGCTTCTAGTTCTTGATTAGTTAAATCATACCTTACGCGACACTATCGTGAATTTTGTAAGCGACACTATCGTGAATTTTGTAAGCGACACAAATTAACAATCAATCTCATTCTTTCGACCTGCAGAAATAGACCACTGGAGAATAAATCACCATGAGTCGACATCTTGCAGAAGAAACACGGCAAAATCCCATTGACAGGCCACAAATCACCAGCCACCTGTCCGAGATAAAGGCGCCCCGTAAAATCTTGGTAACCTTGCCTGAATTCTGCCTTGTATCAAATCCCCCTGCTCGTCTATCACTCCGTTTGCTCTCCACGTTAAAGCAGAATCAAGTTTGAGCCATTTGCCCAAAAGGGTCCACTAAGCTCATCAGGATCAAGTACTCCAATACCATAATTCCAGAGCATTAGTTATTGACCACAGAGAAAGGATCCCATACGTGGCTGACCATGCAACTAGCACCACCCCTTTATTCCTCAACTCTATATAAATCCCCATCATCACCACCTCTAGTACTTCATCCAAAACTGAGTCCGATATCCAAGTTAGTCCATTTTGCTTCAATTTTTAGCCACCAACATCTTTAGCTCCAAAATTTTCTTTCAGAAAAGCCTTATTGATATTGAACTACAATCATATTAGCCATGCTAGAAGGCAAGGCAGTTGTTGGTGAGACCGACATGCTTCAAACCATGCAACAAGATGCACTCGATCTTGCAGCCAAAGCCCTTGACTTCTTTGATGTCACTGACTCCACTGACATAGCTCGTTTTATTAAAAAGGTGAGCAATAATATCTAATAAATATATGGAGTTTGAATATATATATATATATATATATAGACAAAGCATAGACCCTGTTTTCCCCTCCGAGTGGACTAAGCAAATACCTTATTTGGATATATATATATATATATATATATATATATATATATAAATGCATTAATTTGATAGGACAGTCAAACTTGAATTTTCAGGCATATTGAAGTGGGTTTTGTACTTGTGTTTGACGCAGGAATTCGATAGGATGTATGGACCAGGGTGGCAATGCATCGTGGGAAGAGATTTTGGCTCATTTGTGACTCACTGCTTTGGATGTTTCATATATTTTCAGATTGGAAGCCTTTCAATTTTGCTCTTCAGGGGCTCTGCTGGTTATCCAGAACCTGAGGAAAACCGGTTTGCACCCTTAGAATCCTTAGAGACCTTGGAAACAATGAAAGCTTAAATATTTCATTTACAGTTTTACTTTTCTTGTAGCATGCCCTGTGTTTATAGAAAATGAAAAAAGAAAAAACTCAGGTTTATTGCTCTCAGTCTCTTGTGTTTGGTTCTGCTTAATTACATTGGCCTGTACAAGATTCTCTCTTGATCAGGTTTACAAAGAGAGTCGTAACATGTACTAATTATAAGATAATCAAAATCATAGTCATAAAATGCAAGCTGAAAGCACAAAAGATAAGGCATTGAGTATTATGAGGTAATTTCGTTGAAAGTTGAAACCTGTTGGTGGGCTTTATATTTGGTTGGGCTAGGCCCATACAGATGAATTCATTTTTCTGGGCACCAAAAATTGGCATATGAGGCAATGCATTAATGCCTAATTTTTGTATCTCTAGAAAATTAGGGATGGTAATTCTGAAAGTTGGAGAATTTCTACTTCATTGGATCAATTAACTACAAAAGTAAGAGTCATGTGATTTCCAATTTACTGAAAACATAGTGTAGCATGAGACAAATCCCTTTTTGGCTATGGGACAAAAAAGAAAAGTATAGATGGATCATAGAATGGGTTTTTGACCACAATTTTGTTACAAGACAAAAAGATGGTTTTTTTTTTTTTTTAAGTGGACAATATAATTCAAATAAGAAATAACAACCATATTTTTGTGTGGAAGTTTTTTTTTTTTTTTTTCAGTTTGTTGGTTCTTTAAAAAAAATTCAAATGAATTTTTTTTTTAATGAAATCTATAGATATACCAAAAGGAATTAATTTAGGCTGATTTTTCCCATTTGACTTGGAATTCATGTTTTGTATACGTATACTCGGTAAAGTTTCTTTAATTTTATCTAAAAAGGTTGGCTTGAGCGAAAGCGAGTTTTAATTGCTTAAGTAAGTGATTTCAATTTTCAATTTTTATATACTCAAAAGACTTTTTGGATAGCTGTGTCTTTTAAATTTTGAGAAGCAAAAAGTAAATAAATGACTAAAGACAAAATGATTACCATAGTTCAACTATGATAGCCTACTTTACAGACACAAAAACCACAAGAGGTTACATGCTATATTATATTTGGTTAGTATATCAAGATATTACAAATGATCCATATTTATAATGGGTGATACTTTAAGAAAGGAAAATAAATCAAATATATTATTACAAAATAAATCGGACAATCCATTAAATTGCTCTTATCAATTTCTTGAATTATTCTAACAAATCTTATGATTTATTATGCATCTTAATAAATCACGAGAGATTCGTAATTTTGGAAAGTTAATACACTTTCCAACACACTCCTTCAAGATAAGCATGAATCATAACAAAGTGATCATCTTGCAATTCTTTTTAAGGTTTTATACATATCGAGACTCGTACAATTCGAATTTTTTTTATTGAGACTTTAAGTTTTTTTCTCATCTAATTTAAGAGTTCTACTTTTATTTTGTTGTTGTTTCGAGACCCTAATGTGCCACACAAGCACATGTAGCAAGCTCTAGCCAATGACGACTTGCCATGTGTCATGGTGGGGCCAAATTAGATGATTGAGTTGGTGAAGTGGCAAGATGTCATTCGCTAGAGTTTTCCAAGTGTGTTTGTGTGGCAAGTTGTCATTAGCTAGAATTTGAAACAATAGCAACATAAGAGTAGAACTCTTAAATTGGATAGAAAAAAATTTAGGAATTCAATCAAAAAATACAAATTATATGAGGTCTCAATATGCGTCAAACCCATTATTTATATATGGTCGGAGAGCATCCAATACCAACAAACAATGAAACTTTGCAATTTCTTAAAGAGCGAGTTGATCAGTCATGTTTTAACCATGGCGTTACACTAGATTCAAGATTGAAAATTTCTAGAATTAACATCAGCTTTTTTTTTTAATCATTGCATCCATAAACCTTGTGTTGTTCTTGGATTGGAGCTCATTCGGAGGTTATTACTCTAAGTGAAATAATTGTCTTCGGTTTCACTTAGTAGTTGCGTAACAAAATCAAGCTTGGATGATTCGATGGGTACAAGTAGAATGAAGATTTGGTATCAATTGTAATTTTTTGTACATTTGTATTAGACACCAAACTCTTTTGATCATGACTTGCAAGGCTATTGGCCATAGCTGGAAGAACAAGAAGTTAATCAAGATTTAAAGACAAAGGAACTTGATATGAACCATGCTCTCATATCATCTTAAATTTTGAGTAACAAAAAAATAATTAAATAATTAAATGATTAAAGACAAGGATTAATAAGGTTCAACTGTGGTAGCCTACTCTACGTACACAAAAGTCATAAGAGGCTACATATTGTATTATATTTGGTTAGTATATGAAGAGATTACAAGTGATCTATATTTATAATGGGTGATACATGAAGAAAAGAAAATAAATGAAACATATTATTACAAAATAAATCGGACAATTCCTTTAAATTGCTCTAACAAATCTCGTGATTTATTATATATCTTAATAAATCGAAGAGGTCTTGTTATTTTGGAAAGTTAATATATGAGAGAGGCTTTTTTGGTGCCTAACCTTTCAATTTTTTTTTCTGTTTTGGTCCCTAACTCGTTGATTTCTCATGGTTGACTACTCAAGCTTTGATTTTTTATTTGTTTTGGTGCCCGAGTTTACTCGAATCCCGATATTGTCGACATGTCCAACGAGATCTACCACGTGGCTATCAAAAAATGTCATGTGGCGGTCATCTCTATCACATCGATACATCATACTCTTAGGTAGCTAAGAGCACTCAAAAAAAAAAAAAAAATCAAATATTAGGCATTGAAATAGAAAAAAAAATTAAAGATTGAGCACCACAATAGAAAAAAATATATATCAATGCCTGGACACCAAAAATATAGTTTTCTCACACCAAATGTTTATCTCCTTCTTATACTCTAATATATATTTTCTTAATATTATAAATAGATTTCATACATTTCTTGTGCTTTCATAATCTTATATATATATATATATATATATATATATATATATATATAATCTCTCAAAACTTTCTTTTTAATATCAAAAGTCATATAATTTTAAATTCTAAAAAATCAGCAATTACACGCATGCATATTTTCTTATTATTATGCTAATTGCATAAGTAATTTTAACAATACATTTACTTTATAGCTTAATTTATAATTTACTTATTATTTCTATCATTATCGCCACCAATACAAAAATATTGCACTTTAAATGTTCAAATAAAAAAACTTGATCACTAAACTTATTTATGTTGATTCTATCCCATCTTAGCCTACCATAAAAAGTTTAGTAAGTTATTGGCTACAACAAAGTTATATCACTCATGATATGTTGGTCAATTTTCTCCCTAGACAAAGGAAGCAATTTTTATTTTTTGTAACTTTTTCCATTGACTAACCATTTGTTCCGCAAATAGCAATCATAATTGGATCTTATATGTCTTTTATTTTTCTAAATTTAATCTTAATTATACTTTATATATATTTAGATTAAATGACATAATTTTAAATTTGCCTAGACATGTAAAAAGGATTTAGAATTTTTTAAAAGTAATTTTTAACTCATACATAGTACTAAAAATTACCATTAATAAGTTAAAAAAAAAGCCACAAGTATAATATAAAAAATATTTATTAGAATTTTTTGGATTAATTTTGCAATCTCGAGACAATAAATTTCTTTAAAAAATGCATATTTTGGTACCCAATCTTTAATTTTTATTTTATTTTAATGCCTAACATTTGATTTCTATTTGAATATCCATAACTACATAAGCGTATAAGGTGTTGATGGGGCAAAGTTGATTGCTACGTGACATTTTTACTGTCACATGGCAGGGTTGATTGTCTTGTGATAGTTTTCATTGCCATGTGGCATATCTCGCCGGACACGTTAACAAAATCAAGATTCAGATGAATTCGGACACCAAAACAAACAAAAAATCGAAACTTAGGTTGTCAATTATGAGAAATCAACATTGAGCACCAAAACAGAAAAAAAGTTGAAAGGTTGGGCACCAAAAAAGCTTTTTTTCCCGTTAATATATATACTTTCTAAGGCTTTGTTTGCAAATAATTAGTCCAATCTATTGGGTCTGAAATATCCCGAGGATAAAAAGAAAAATCTCTAATTTAATGATAAATAAGTTATTTTTAGGCGTATTGAGGGGCTCTAGAGGTTCTTTATAATAAAATAAATAAATAAATATATTGACTCCTTCAATGTGACCCCTAAAATAAGCCGCTAAAGAGCATATATAGAGACGCAAATGAGTTCCCAGAACTGGCTTCAATAACAAAATGTATAACACATTATCCAGCTATTAATCATTCTCAAAAGTCAAAATCATCTTGATTTGGCTTTGGTGAAGTTAACAAAGCTGTATAAAGCCTAAGCCTATCCTCTCCCAAAGAAGAACACCTTGATAAAGGTCTTCTAGGCCTTATAAATGACAAGGAAGTAAGGGTTAGCCGATGCTTATACCTTCTCCAAGCCAACTGAATAGCCACAGCAGCCCAAGTCCTCCATCCAGGTGAATAATACCTTGCACTTCTCTTAACTCTCTCTTTGACAAATGTGTACCTAAAATGTTGTGTCACATATTTCACATCTTCAGCTTCCAGCCCAAATGCCTCGGTTGTCTCAAGAGTGACCAATGTTGATGAAGATGGTGGTAAACGTTCAATAAAAGGTCTTCTTAAGCACCATGACAAGAGCTCATCACCGCTGAAATTTCCAGGGCCTAACATACAGCAACTTTTGACACCATCTCTGAGAACTTGGCTACTTTGGAGATGTCCCCTTACTACAAATAACATTCTTTGCACAGGGTCACCCTCTCTTGTAATCTACAGGAAATTCAATGTATTAGTAAGTAGGCATTGCTACATTTGTAAGAAGAAAATGATTTAGACGTATGAAGTAATCTTGTTCTTTCATATATGAGATTCGTTGTAAAAAATTTTAACATACATAATTTGCTCGAAAACATTTCTCATATATAATAAATTTGTATTCACAAAAGTAATTCATGGCTTTGGATCATAACCGGAACTTACTGTTTCTCCCTTTGTGAAAATGAGAGACTTTACACGGTCACATATGTTCTCTAGGACCAAATCATCCATGTGTTGGAACAGTGGTACCTGAAACAGATTTTTGAAACGAGAGAGTGAAAATTGTAACTCTAAACGACAAAATATTTTGAAGCCCAAACCTAAATGGACTGAATACGAATGTGGTAGTGGACTTGGATCACAGTCCATTCAATGGAAGCTCAGCAGTGTTTTTCTTTTTAATGTGTATGGACTAGAAGCCCATTATAGAAGATAATAATCGAACCCCCTGGTACTCTGGCATTTACCTGCCTCACCAAATCCAGGCATAGATGGTACTTGATGTCCCTTCTAAGGCCCTCAGGTAGATTCCGGATCATCTCACATTCATCAACACCTCTCATTGCTGCCCACCGTTGCCGCTCGTAGTTACGTACTCGCTGCCGGAACCCGGTGGGCAAGTGTCTTTTCCTCATCCACCACTCTATATTCCTCATCTTCAATTGCATTGCTTGCTTCTTTGATGTAGTTGCATGCAAGAATACCTTCATGCACAAATAATGGTAACCATGTGAACTAAAAATATATATTTGCTTTTTATTAATATAAATACTAATAAAGTTTTGTGAAGGACATTAAATAATAATAATAATAATAATAGAAGAATGGGTCTTGGTTTGAAAAACATAGCACATTAGGTGGGCCTTTGATAGCTCTATAATTGTGCTCGATCCTTTCGGACTCTGTGTGATAAAACAAATTGTCCTTGGCAATTTTAAGACAAAGGTACATATATCATATTCTATATAACTAAGAGATCTTATGGGTAAAATACTATTTATTTACTGTTTATTTATCTTGATTCACTGTTTATCGTATGGTATTGTTGTAATTTTTTGTAATTTTTTTCCCAAGATAAATGTATATAAATAAAAGGAGTGTTATCATTATATTAGTCATACTACCGAGTCACCTAATCACTCATAGATTATCGTATTTGGAAAAAAGAAAAAAAAACTTTTAATGAGTTGGTAATTATCATATACTTATCTTACCAAGCATTTTTATTTTATTTATTTTTGAATAATGCTATACAGACAAACTTCTCATGCAAAATTTCATTACAAGCACATGTTGTAGTTACTACTTAATTTCATAAAGGATCAATCATTTATCATTATTCAACATTATTTTACTATTGATCCATTGACGCGTAAGTTTGTATGCAAATTAGAATGAAAAATGAAAAGTAATTTACAAACAATTTTTGCATACTAAATTTTCAAGAAACTAGCGTGTCAATGGATTTGTAGTTTTTTACGTAATCAAATTTTATCGAAATCAATTTTATATTTTTTATTGCACTCTATTAACTTCAATATATATTTTATAATTTAATTTTTTTAAATATTTTTTAATTTATGCTATGCATTCAATTATACTGATAAATATAATTTATTTTTCTCTTTATTTGAATTTTAGAATAAAATTTTAAAACGTTTTTTCTTTTTCAAAAAATAAATTGGTATTATATATATCATGAATTTTTAGAATTTTTAAATGATAGTTGCATATATATAAATATATAATTATTTTATTTTAAAATTTTAAAAATATATTTCAAATAATTTATCTCGATTCACTATGTATGGTCAAGACATATAAAAAAAATTATTAAATCATTATTTTTGTTAAAAAATAACTATACATCTTCTAATATAATACAAATTATTTACTATAAATATTTTTTTAACATTATAAAACCAATTTATTTGAAATAAAATAATTAAAATAATTTTTTAAAGGAACCAACTAATTATTCAAATATAGTTTGTATGCTAATTTTATTGATTATTCTTTTGTAAATAAATATATAAAGATCAAATGCATATACTTTTTTTTAAAAAAAAAATCTTCTCACCAACATTAAATAAAAATAAATTTTAATTTTTTATTAGTTAATTTTTATGCAAATCTATACATTAATTGTAACTTTCTTTTTTTTTGGATACATTCTTATAAAAAAAATATTTTTAAAGTATTTATTTTTTAATTCTTAATTAATATTTTAGGTTTAAATTATTATAATTTTTTATTTAAGAATCCCTTAATAAAAAGAACAAATCACATTTTTTTTAAGCAGAAATTGTACAAAAAACACATACAATATATATATATATATATAATTAAATAAAAAGTTAATGAAAAATTATAAAATTTTGAAATGATTTTGTTTTATTTGCTCGCAACGTTCCACAAATAATTTCAAAAACTCATTTTCTCATCAGCATTAAATAATTTTTTTTCATTTCTTAATTTTTATAAAAATCTATTCATTAATTATAATTTTATTTTTTGAAATACAATATTAAGGAAAATATGTTTTTAAATTTTTTTTTAATTTTTTATTACTAGTTTAATTAAAATTATTAGAATTTTTTATTTTAAAATCAATCTATAAAAAAATGATTTATTTTTTATTAAACAAAAAATTTATAAAAAATATTTAAAAAATTAATTAAATAAAAATTATAAATTTTATAATGATTTTGTTTTATCAAATTTGTAGTATAGCGTGGACAACCAGCTAATTACTTGCAAAAATGGCGTGGCCTTTCATTTTCATTTTTAATTTTTTTGCGTTCTTAACGAGTGGATATCATCAAGTAATAGAAAATACGGAAACAATTTATTCTATTATATTCGTGGGGTGACCACCTGCCTGTCAAGATTGCCACCTATCTAAGATTATTATTTTTTTAATTGGTTAAATAAAAAGTAAGGTTACCTTGATGTTTCCTATCAGCATCGTGACCAAGAGCAGTCCACTTGTCAGAACAATGATGTTGAAAACAACCTCTAACCATTCTGTTGTGCTCTCCAGGTTCCCAAAAGTGCTGCTCAAATCACATAAATGTCAGTTAAATTAAGAAAAAGCAATCTTTTCTAATCAATTTGTACGTCAATAAAAATAATTTTAAAAGCATATTTTTAATATCAGCATGATATATTTAGAAGAATGACCCAAAAATTAAACTAAAAAAAAAAAAATTCTTCTTAACTATCAAACTAATTCGTTGGATTTATATTAAAGATGATAGTTTATTTCTTAAATTCTGTCACATAAAGACAGTAGACAGAATTTGTGAGACAAAATGCCCATGTCGAGGACTTCAATTAAATATATGTAATTAAAGAAAAAAAGAAATTTGACCTGAGAGTCATTAGGCCCCAAAAGATTGGGAAGAGTATCTTCTCTAATCTGCTGTCATTGGTGACGAGTTGAACGGTCCATTTATATGCTCCATAATCATATTTGTCAGGGCTGTCTAAGCACAAAGACCTTGCTTGCTTGTTTTCTGCCCATGCCCATCTTGCTTTCTCCATCACCTTCCTTGCTGTTCCATAGTAAATAGGCTCTTTGCAAGACAACAAACTCAAGCCACAACCCGTTGTTTCTCTGCATTGTTCTTTCAAGCACGTTGCAGCCCTTTGAATTCCCAGCAAGTACCAGCATGCTCCTGCTGCCTGCACGAATGCATTGGGAGATTTTATTTTATTTCATTTTAAAGAAAAAAACAGAAAGTGTAAAATGCAAATTAACAAGCATAGTTCTTTTTTTATAGATCAATACCAATTCGTAATTTTTGTTGCTCTTTCTTGATCCAATATTTGAATACAGTACAACATTTAGTGACATTATTGGTATACAGTTGGGAAAGAGTGATTTGTCGTTGAAATCAATTATCATGCTTTCTTCTCTTCATAAAAAGGTGAAAATGATCTTATTAAAAGGTACTTCTTTAGTTACGTAAAAAAGTTTATTTATTCAACTTTTGGTACACAATTGGGAAAAATATAGTTCAGTCTGAAATATATATACAACTATATAAATAGTTACATAACCCATCATTAGCTACATGAAACTTACTGCTTATGTTCACGTGATCCACGATTCTGCAAATTCTCCTTTTTGTCTTATATATCTTTCTCTTTTTTGGTCAGCGTGAGAACTATTTACATATGATTAAAGGTCCGAAGTGTTGAGGGAACTTTAAATACCATCTTATTGCAGAATGTTTGGATTTTGTGAGGCCAAAAGCATGCATAGGCGATCTCACTTTGAATAGCGTTCCTAAAGCAACTAAATAAAAGAATGGCTTGAAACAACTTCATCAAAAAGATTGAGGATATATAAACAGAAAGGGAACTTACATGAGATGCAACAAAGTAAGCAATCATGTTGAGAGCAATTCCCCACCAAACGGTGCCAAATATATAGCCAGAGAGATTTTGCATGCGTCGAAGGAGGCAGACTGAATGGTATATCTTTGGAAGATATTGGAAGAGGAAAATGATCAAAAACACGTTCATCAATACTGTCACTGATCCTTTATGCAATAAAGATGGAATTGCCACCCATAATACAATCTGCAATCAAAGCAAACCAAGTTAACTTCCACAAACTATGGTTACTTTTATTTTGTTAGTCATTTTCGCTTAGTGAGAGGACAATCAATTGTCTGATTCTCTAGTCAAAATCTACAGTCCAAATATCTTAGGCTTTATATATATATATGGATTTTAGGAAGAATGATGGGATCCTAACAAATCCTCATTTGTGTTCATATTCAGCTACAAGGCTTCACTATTACAAAACCGAATTTTAATGGTTTTTTTTTTTTTTTTGAGAGTTATAAAATGCCAGTAATATATATATTAGTTGATTTTTTTTTAAATGCCACAAAAATCAATTCTAGTGCAGTGCTGATGTAATTATATTGAGATTGAAGAGCCCAAAGACAGCCCTATATTTTGCAAAATTTCTCAAGTAGTCATCAACACTAGTAATTAGAATTATTTTGATATGATTTGTAACCTAATAAATAGAGATTCATACATCAACTAACATATTGAACGAAAGCAAATTTATATGTTGACAAATATTCTTGCCCAAATTAAACTTTTTTTTTGTTTCTTACTGTACAATTAATTATTATTATTATTTTTTTTGCTTGGTGACTTGAAAATTTTTATTTAATTTTCAAGTCCGAGAACAATATAAAACTTCAAACTTTTCTTTTTCATTTTGAAAAAAATTATATATTTATATATTATTTTTTTTCCGTTTTAGTAAGACTTTTTGTGCCAAAGTTCCCGTTTGAAAGCAACTTTTGCATCCATTTGTTCTTGTCTACCAAATGCATTTCTCGGCAACCATCCATATATATGTAAACACCTGTCTCCTCGAAACATGTGATTGATATTGACTGTGTTGTAATTAAAATAACAGAGCTTTCGTTGTTCTTTTAACTTTTAAATAGAGTTTTAGATAAAAGTTAAGGCAAGTTCCTGGATTATTGACAAACGATCATGGAACAAAAAAATTGTTCTGTCTTTAGTCTCTAAATAAATTTGAAATAAAATCTTTTATTAACTCAGTTTATGTCTCCATCTAAATGTTTTTTGTGGAACAACATGTGAAAGGCACATAGATAGGGAAAAAATGAAGGAAAATTTTGATGATAAAAGTTAATAAAAGGATTTTACTCATATATGTTTCATGTATTTTTGAATTATTTTGATTAAGATTTTACTTTTTTTTTTTTTTTTTGGTGTTGATTGAGTTTTTTTTTTAATTTTTTTATAACATTGTTAGTTTGTAAATTGACATGACATTTCTATTTTTGAATACATAAAATATATCATACGTGAGATCTCAATAGAAAAAACTCAATCAAAATGATTTAGAAAATAAAAAACTCAATTAATATAATTCAAAGGGTACAAAGATTAAATTATTTTTTTTTATTTTTAATTTCCATGTTATTATGTTGTTTTGAAAAACTTCATCCTAAATCTTAAATGCAAAAATGTGTCATATGTTAGAGTGAATCACTATAAAACTATGAAGGTTTTTTTTTTTTTTTAATGGTTATAATAAGATAAAATAATAAATAATATGTTAAAAAAAGGAGAAGAAAAAGAAAAAAATCCAATAGATAATTATTAAAATAAGAGTATGATAAAGTGCAGCATCGAGTAGCCATAAAATCATAGTTAATGGGTTTAATTATCCAAAAAAAAAAAAGAAATTTTGAATATTTGACAAACTTAAAGTGAAAAATTGGATTGTCCTCTCTTGAAAAAGGAAAAAAAAAAAAAAAAAGAAAAAAGAAGAAGAAGCTAAAGACTCCTCCACACTTTATTTTTTATTTATTTAGATAATTGGCATTAATTCGTATTATTGTTGTTTTTATTTAATTTTATGAAACATCTTTGTACTCTTTTTTTTTTAATTATATGTTAGGTTCATTTTATATGTATTTTATTATTTTTTAAATTATTATAATAATTTTTTTAAAATACACTTCAAGTTTTATTGTGATATATAGACCTCTCATATGACACGTTTTGCAACAAGATGATGTAAAATATATATATATATATATATATATATATATATACATATAGAAATTAAAAAAATAATAATTTAATCATCATATTATTTGAATTGCATTGACTTAGTCTATATGTTTTTTGAATTGTTTTGATTAGATTTTTCTATTAAAATTCTATATATGATATGTGTCACGCATTTAAGAATAGACATGACATATCAACTTATGAACTAACAATCTTATAATTGAGGAACCAAAACAAAACAAAATAAATAGTAGTGAAACTCTATTAATATATATATATATAGAGAGAGAGAGAGAGTTTCAATTAAAATAATTTGAAAAGTATATAGATTATACATAAGTAAAACCTGTTAATAACAAGTACTCGATTTTGACCCTAATAATTTTTTTTTTCCATAAGCAATATCTATGTATCAAAATTGAGCACCAAGAGGCAAAGCAGATTGCAATTGAACAAAAAGAACAGAAGAAGTTCCTATGGTATATTGCTTGCCTCAGCTACTGTTGACTGACAACTAGATAAAAATTCAGCATTAAAGACGCAATTAAAGTTAACAGCTTTTTCACTCTCATAAGGCAAATTATTAGGTACCACATAGATTACAATAATTCTCATTGGTTTTCATCTTTAATATATTTTTTCAGAAAATAATTAAAGTGTTTTTTTAATATGTGTTCTAAAACCTCCGTGTTTTGATTAAAAAAATGTTTTAATTTCTATAATCAACAATAAAATTATAAATTAAAATTCTATTCAATTATATAAATAAATTCACTCAATTATTAAAGTAAAATATTTATTTATATCAATTATCATATTCCAGAAAAACCCATAATTAAATTAAAAGAATATATTCGTTCAGTTAGTACGTAATTATTATGTATAGTTTGGGTTAGTTATATCTATGAGATTTAATGTGGAAGCTTTAGGATCTTTAACTCATCATTATGTAGCTAGTGAAGAGTGTAAAAATAAATTAAAAACTGGAAAAAAAAATTGGTTCTATAATTATATATTGCACCATGGACATCTTCCCCGACAAATTAACCTAAGAAAGAGAGATCCATGGAATTCTTTCAAAACACAAAGCATCAAATTGATCAAGTGTTTGTTTTCCCTACCCCTTTTAATTACCCTTTTTCTAGATTGAAGAGACGACATAGCGATATCACATGGTCACACAGAACCCTATAGAGGGAGTTAGCCTGCATGCCAAAAGCAACCTTGGCTAAAAACAACTAATGGCATGCATTTGTCACCTCCTCGAACACTAGCATACAAAAAATGAAGTACTTAAACCAATTAAAAACATGTCGCCTGTGACATATATGGGTTTAGATCAGCTATCATGACATAACAGGTCATTCAATATGCTGATGATTATTACTTGAAAGATAATTATTACTTACTGCTGTCAATACTGAAAATCTAACCTGGGGTAGAGGAAGAATAACGAAGAGATCAAAGAAAAACCCTTTCTTTGCCTTCAAGTACCTCAGGGCCGAGGAGCGAGGACTGGCAACGCCGGACACTCCTCTTGCTCCATCTCCAGTACCACTTCCACTGCCACCATGTGGTCTCTTGGCAATTTTCAGCTGCAGCCACATGTTCCACAAGTGCAAAACATCGGTCATGCACCGGAGAACTGTGACTGTGATGGCAAACCACCCGTCGACGAACAGGCACATGAACGTGTCGCTTATTGATAGGACGTAAAAGAAGAGAGGGTCTACAAAAAGTCCTGCGGCACACACAAGGAGAAAAACCCTATTCCATTCTTGAACCCATTTGGCTCTAGGGTCTAACACGTTCCCTAGAGACCATCCTCTTCTTTTAGAGCCACCACCACACATATTTAAAAGTATGCTTTTGCAATCATGTGGGCTTTCCTCCTCGACATCTTCCTCTTCCTCTTCTTCTTCATCTTCCTCTTCCTCACTTTTGCTATCTTCATCTGTAAAATACCGCAAGTACTGTGCAGCATTTGAGTTTTCTTGGTGCTCACTAGCCATGAAGACAGTGAGGGAGGAGGTGTTTAGGTTGGGAAGAGAAGAGGAATACATGTATGAATTTCTTTGGAGGCTTGAACATGTATAAGAAATGAGGACACAAGGACTGTAGACTGTAGAGTTAGAACTTGAGAGAGACAAATTCTTTTTTTAAAGTACCAGACTACCCTTGAGTTGGGGTGGTCCAGTCTGCCTCTAATTCTTCACCTAATTATATGAGTTAAACCCAAGTCAGCATCAACTGGAGGTCTCTGGCTTATTGATAATGTTTACAATGATAATAATTAAGTTTTTTGAACGCAACCTGCTTTTGGCATGTCTTAATTATGCCAAGTGAATTCGTAAAAAGAATTTTGAACCGTAGATATTTTTTTATAAATTTTATAATACTCAAAAAATAATTATTTTATAAAAAGAAATAAACACAAAAATAAGAAAGAAATAAATAAGAGAAAATTAAAAAAGAAAATTTGAGTAAAGATGGAAATCTTTTTATCATTTTTTGTGAATTTGAATATGTTTCTTAAATATATATGTATATCTTTTTATTTTATTTTTTTCAAAAATAGATCTATATAATAACTACTATACATGTATAATAACTATTTATTGAGCATAATAAAATTTTTTGATAATATTCTTTTTTTATTTTTAATTTTTAATTTTAAGATGTATGCTTTTCATTAACTCATCTATCAATCAAGATTAAGTCTTTTTTTTTCCCTAGATTTTCTATAAAAAACATAAATTAAGTTTCTTTAATTTCTACAAGTTTGCATTCAGGAAAATTATAGATGTTACTTTTAAGCTTTTAACTTAAAAAATCAAAATAAAAATCAGAACTTATTAGCCATAAAGCCTATCTCTTAATATTAGCTGTAAATATACTTTTTCCAAAACATTATATATGGAGTAAACATAAAAACAATTTCAGTACAATACTGTAACTGTAATTTTTAGTTAATTATCAACTCAACTAAAAATTGGGAGCACATTCAGATGATTGGCTTTAATTCTCGCTTGCAGACCAGTCCATCTCAACTGCATATATTTATATTTTGTAAACTAAAACCTGGTTATGTTGGAGGATATTGTTCGGTTTAAACTAAAAAATCGAATCAAGATATAATTTCGATCTGGTTTTTAACTTAATTTTTTTTTTTAAAAAATGGCCTGAATGTTTTTTATTTTTCGGTTCAGTTTTTAAAATTTTTTTGTTTGGTTTAAACTAGAAACTGATTTTTTCTTTATTTTTTGAAAGTTTTAAAATAATAATGAACCAAAAAAAAAATCAATGCTTTAATATCATTTTAGATATATATATATATATATGATGGATTGATGGCTTTTTACTCTATTTATATTATTTAAAAAAAATCAGAAAAATAAAAAAAATGGTTTAAACGAAAATACTGAATAGTAATCTGTTAGAGTTTGGTTTTTATTTTATTTTATTATTATTATTATTTTTTTAGGTCTGGTAAATGATCACTCCTAGCTAATTATGTATGTCATTAGCATGCATAATTATATTTTAAAGGGTAATAAAGAAAAAAAATTTCGTGATATCATCAAATGTTTTCTCACGATTCGACGGCTAGTAGATTAACTTCCCACAGTATTATTTCAACATAAAATTTAAGAGGAGCTGGAAATGAAAAAAGAAATTTTTGGTCGTTATGAAAATAGCTTAGGTAATGCGGACACGGCAGAACTACTATTTGCCTTGGGGGCCATAGCATCCCCAACGTTTTAAAATTTTCTAATATGATTCTTAAATTTGAAATTAGTAGCAATAGCTAAGAAGTTGCATCCCCTAATTTTTTTTTCCTCATCTTCCTTTAATTTTAAGTCATTTCAAAATTGCCCAATAACTTTTATGGAATTGTCTCCTCTCATGTTCTCTTGAATATGATCTATCAATTTCTTTTAATCTAACCTTTCCAAAATAAAAGAATGGCTAATGGTTTTAGTAGCCAATATTTACTAAAATCAAACTCTTTTAATATCTTTTAATGCTTACCTTTATATATATATATATATATATATATATGCTTAAGATTCCAAAAATAAAAAATAAAAATTCATAACCGTTTTCTTATAGGATGAGAATTTTATTAATATTGAAAGTAAAACGAAACCCTACACAATTGTGAAGGTAAAAATCCAAAAATGTTGATAACAACAACATTGTTTTATTTTCTATAGTTTTGTACACAAGATTATTCACATCTTCTTTGAAGGGAAATTTCTTGTGCATCGGTGGTCGTGAAATTCTAAAACTAAAAAGTTAGATGACAATGAAAAAAAAAAAAAAAACACTTAACGAGCACTCATCTTGAGAGAAGAATGTTGCTTCCAGAAAATTGTCGAAGAAATTTCAAGCATTTAGTAATAATGTCGCAAATAACTGCTATACTGAGAATGAGAATCTTATATATATATTTTTTTCATAGTATTTGTTATATTCTTTTTCCTTTTCTAGATTTTTTATTATGTAAAGTTAAAAGTATATAAAAAAAACTTTAAATTAATATAGAATATTTTAATTTAGTGTTTAAAAATATTGGATGTTAAGATCTTAGACATTCATATATTTTGAAAAAGTCAAATTAAAAGAGAATGATAATTTATATCTGAGAGACGTTTTTATGATAACATCTTTAGTCATAAAATCTTATTTTCACTCTTCTCAATATGTATGTGTTTCCTAATATTTGACGAGAAAGGAAGTTTATTTCAGTTTATGTGAAGAAGTTGGTCAAGAAAGACACACTAACTAACATAGAAAATGTTATCAAAGCATTCGGATATATTTATTGAGTGGTTAATACCTAGGATACTATGAGCTTCATTTGTCAAATTATAGATGAGCATTCTAGGTCTAAACTAAACATGCGGAGGCCAGTGTGTGACTATGCATAGCATTACCAACAAGTCTAAATCACGAAAGCCTTTGAAATAGAAGAAAGATGAGAAGGAACTGTAAAGCGTTAGGCCATTTTATATTATATACAAGAAGACAATTGAAATTTATTACTCAGCGGGACCATCGGTATCTAGTGAAATGATTATCAGCTAACATGCTTTTTCCTAATCCTTTTTCCCTCGTATCGTTTACCCGATGAAACTGCCTAAAGCTATAGTGGATGGAGGCACTCCTGTCATGTCAAAACTATCAGAACAGGAATCACATTTGGTTATCTCAAACCATTTATGCATGCAGTGCCAAAATGTCGGGAAACCCAAGCTTTCACTTTAATCATCACTGTCTTCTTGTCTTTCACACTGGTGCTATCTATGAAGTTGCAGCAAAATATCGGATAAATTTTAAATTATCTAAGGAGTAATTAATAATTCTTGAAAATAAAAAAATAGATATATATATATATATATATATAAATAAGAGAGGAGGAATTAAAATAATAATAATTAAGTTTAGATAAAAATATTTTTATTATTTTTGTGTGGATTTAGACGTGATTTTTTCCTTTTTTTTGTGTATTTTTTCTTTTTAAATTATCTTATTGAATAATTATTATTAATTACTCAAGTATTTTGATATGATGGCATTCATAACTTTCCAACTGAAAAACAAAAGAAAAAAGTTGTGGATATTTCAAGAAAATCATTGACTGAATATATTGGTGGAATTTATTTATTTATTTATCATTTTGCCTTTCTTTAAAAACCTCCATCATAAAAAATTAATTGAAATACAAGAGCTTCTTCTGCATGTCTCATCATCGAAGTTTATAAATCATATCCTTTCAAAAGAGAAAGCAACATGTATATTAATTAATCCTGCTATCACATGGGAGAATGAAGGAATTTAAGAAAGAAAAACTATCTATATTCAAAACTCAATAAACATTTTCAATCAATAAATTAAAAGAAGAAGAAATGCACTTCTATCATATATCGAGTAATAGATATTATTATATCATTTTTGAAGTTGGTTTAAATTTAATAATAACCCAAATTAGTGAAGTTTCAATAATTAGTGTGCCATGTATATATGTAAATAGCAATCACCTGTTCATACCTTAATACTTAGTCCTAGCCTTGTCTCTCCTTATATATATATATATATATATATATATATATATATATTTCAGCCGGGTGCGTAGAAGAGATTAATTGCAAGATGGTAGGTTGATTAAACCCAAACATTACATGTTTATAACGTTATTGGAATCAAGACCAAGTTGAACCCTATAAGGTTGTCGTTCGCAGGTTCAACATGTGGTTTACTCACTAGTTGAACAACCGGAAATTTTAAAATTCTACTAATACAATAGTTATTTTATGAGTTAATTTTTTTAAAAAATAATTATAAATAAATTATATCCGAATTAATAAAAAATTATAAAAATATTTTCAACTTAGCTCAATTTTTTTTATCTTTATTATTATTATTATTTTATTTATCTCCTTCAATAGAGTAAGTGTTGATAGTTATTCCATGAGTAATATAAATTTTTTTTAAACCACTATATATCTTTTATAATCATATATAATATAATTTTCAATTTCATTTATTTATTAAATTTTGTATCATATTAAATATAAATTTAATTTATACTATTTTTTTCTAATATTATAGTAAAATAAATATATAAGAAATTAACAATAAAAGCAATTAGTTAAATAAACTGATTCGTGGATTCAACCAAACTATTAGGCTGTTTTTTTTTTTTTTCATCGTATAAACAATCAATTTTTAAGAATTGAGTTAAATTTCGATTCATTGAGTTTTTGGTCGGATCAACCAATCTAATCCGGTACATATATATAAGGAGTGATTTGTAGCCAAATAAAATAAGCAAGCGTACATATTTCTTCGTTTCCATAGCAATAATTTTCGTCTTTCTTTCTTTCATCAAATTTGGAACTAATTGGTCACTTGTGCAAATTCTAATCAATAGATAATTAGCATAATTAACAAGGGATAGAGGATTTCTTGGAGGATATGATTAGTTTTTCGAGGATATGTGATTTAAATTTGTGGTTATGCTTTAATTTTAATCTTTCAAGGATATGATCATTTGTGA